CATTCCTATTGTTGAGTTCAAGTCCCATGACACACACATACACACTCAAGGTAGACTGGCATAACCAAACCCCACAGAGCTCCATTAACAGTCTCCACATATACTTCTTTAAAGGATGAAGTGTGAGAAAAATACCTTGCTAGGCAATAGTGATTGGATGAGGAACAAAGTGATATTCAGATAGCTGTGAAATAGCATTAGCCACCTCCTATAGCTTACTGATTTAGGGCAGAAGGCTTGAAAGCAGGAGGTTAGAAATGTAAAGGGAAATATTGACCCAGCCACCTTTAGTACATCTAGCTATTAAGTTATTTTATGCAAGCAAATAAAGGCAGTACCTACATCCATTCTATAAACACCGAGGAGCAATTTCTTACCACCATCCCAACCCTACAGTAGCAAACAGAAAAAGCCACCAGAGGGTATCTATCCTCCCTCAGCCTCAAGAACCAGCTAAATCACAAGAATGCTTTCTTCAGTGGGAGCCCAAATGAGTAGTCATCTCAGGTTTGAATTCAGCATGTAGTTCGACTTTGAAAATTGGTCTTAGATGCAAACAAATCAATAGCTGGACAACAACAACAGAGCAAGGATGGTAATTTTTTTGAAGTATTTTTTCTCCAAAGAAATTATTTTGGCCTCTGAGTCCTTCATGGGGCATAGAAATAACATTGCCTTGTAGTTGGGTCTGGGCACTGGAATTTCAGCCTTTATGTTTTTTGTGGAGAGGATGGTATTCAATATGTCCATTCCAAATCCTGACAATGCCAAAATAAATAAGCATCTTAACATCATGGTACAAGTTCTGCCCATTTGCACTTGTGTCACAATATTGCATTGAAAATATTTTAAGCGATGGAATTTGCGCTACAATGGCTCAAGAGGCGTTTTGCCTCTTTTTTTCCCTGTGGTTGACCATGGATGCAAAATAGATGCATTTATCATGATTTGTACAGAAAAAAGCACAAAAATATGCCACTAAGCAAGAGTCTCGCTACTTGTTTTCAGCAACATGATTTGGGCTTTCCTTGAGGCAACATAAAAAGAGCCAGGGCACATGCAGTCCACAACTTTATGACTGCCCACCCCAGCCATTCATAAAGGTGGGCAAATATCACTCTCTAGATGCTGCTGACTTCCCTCAACATTGTACTAAATACACTTACAAAAAATTTGGAGTTCAGAAAGATCCAGCAGTGGCACAAGTTTGTCAACATAAGTTCATGACTTATTTTCTGCATGGTAGATTTAGCTCTCACCTTTGCTGCTGTTACAAGCAACCTCACCCCTTTACATGCCAGAACATCCCAGCAGTTTTCTCACACTTTATAATTCTACCCATACCAGATGCACTAGTGCAAACTTTTGGCAGCAGTTCATAAGGAAGTACTCAGTTGTGTTGTTCTGCTCTGCAACCACTTCTGTTCATCATCTGGATTCACATATAAAATATTTTTGGAATTTATATTTCTATAGAATATAGAGACTGTTGTGCAATGCAAAAGAAGCAAATAATTTATTTTAAAAAACATGGTAAAACATGGGGAACTGTGGCAGAGGGGAAAAAAGGTTACAATCTTATAATTAAAGATGTCAATTTTGGCAAATCCTCTCCCACTTCCAGCATTACTCCAAAAGCCTCAGGGCTCCTTAAAACTCTATGAAATGTTTATCAATAACATTTATCTTGAGCTATCATCTTCAACAAATGGCTGACAGAACTTAAAACTGCTTATTTTCCTCAATGTATTACTACATTCTAAGTATTTTCTCCAAGTACAAATCACACAGTTGTTTGTATAATTTTAAAACAAAACCTTAGTTTATGTATTTTATTGTATTAGATTTAATGGTTTTGGGGCTCCAAAATTACTCTGGGTAGCTTGAATAATAAACAGAGGAAACCATGTATGTCCAGACAAGATAAACTCCATATACTATGAAAACTGCACTCAACAGGAGATCAGCAGCCACACTACTCCAATCCCTGGGAAAAGTCAGTTTTTAAAGAATTCATTAAGATAGGAAAAACATGGATATCTGCAGAAATGTTTCCTCTGGCTCTGCATTATAATTCCAAAATCTTCCGTCAAGTTCTGTTTACAACCACTTCTATATCAATCTGAAAATTAAATCCATAAAGCTTTTCTTGTATATCACAAGCTCAGTCCAACAATTGCATGCTCCTGCAACAGATACTGCACTGTGAGAATCTCTAGACCACTATAGTATGACTTGTTTAGATTGAACTCAGCCTCAGCTTTCAGTGCATTTGAAGAAAAAAAACCCACTTAAAACTACATTAAGCTACTGGTTAGGAAATGGTTGTACATGTAGCGTATTGGTGACACATATTTTATTTACAACTATCATCTCATTCTATAGCTGAAAGAATCAGGGAATGAGATAACCAACAAATGAATGAGATAACCAACACCTGTGTGACATATTCAAGTTTTTTTCAATGTACAATTTGGTAAATCCACAGGATGGATATACAATCCAAAAGTTTCTACCCAATTCTAATGCTATTTTGTATGATGAATGAAATGTACCTTTTAATTCCTCTGCAATCTATAATAGACGTTTTATAGTGCTGTCTTATACAGTAGTGGCCAAAATTGTGGAAACCTTTTGGGAAAAAGTGTATTTTTGAGGTTTGATGGCTAATAACACCACTTTTTCGTAGTAGTACTATAAAATTATTATATCAATGGAAAGATAATTTAATCAAGAATGTAACGCAACGAAGTTTGTTCAATTATCTGTACTATATTCTATGAAAAGTTATAGCCAAATAACCAGAAAAAGGAAGCACAACTTGCTTAGGTTGATATCAGGTAGCTTTCCTTCATCTGATTGTAGCCAATGAGCATGAGTGTTTAGAGAGCCGATCAGGTGTCATCTTGTTTTGGCAACGAGCCAATCAGATCACAGTACGATTCAGTTATTCACCCAAATAATTTGGAACGGTCTGAAATAAAATGTGCACAGTGCACATGAATACAGGTTCTTTAGTTTCTGAAGGGATTTGAAAAAGAATGGAAATAATACCATATGAGTCTGCAGTGAGCCCTTCAGAGAATTAGCTATGCATGTTGACATTTCACATTGTATTTGAAGGAGTGAAAGCAGATTCATGTGTTTCCTAAAATAGCACTTTAAAAAGGTATGCAGACATATTATGCCCCGCTGAACAAAAATAGAGCAAGATTACATTTAATATATTGACAAAGGTATGTTAGTGATCAGTTTGATTTCCTTTCTGATTCACTGCCAATAAGAATTTTATTTCAGCCAGTTGCCTTGGGAATAAGCAAAACAAAACAACCAAAATGGAATATTGCCCTTTATTACCCCACCCATCCAAATCTATGTTTTTAAAGAATTTATCCATGAAACAAACCTTCAGGATTCACCCAGAAATTAAGTAGTGTTCTATATTGATTCCTGTATTAGTATTAAAGTATTTGTTTAAAATATTAGATGAGCATCCCACAAGCCAAAATATATATTAGCATATAACTGATTATGTGCTCACATTTAGATAGAGTGTTTTTTGCTCTGCCAGTGTGACACATTAGCTTTAAAAATATTTATGGCAATAATCCAATAAGTTTGATACAAAAGTCAAAGTTAAGCAGCGGTGCAGTTTTGGCAACTCTTGATGTTCTTAGTAGGCATTTGGTAAGATTCCAAAAAAACACATAAACCCAACTCAGTAAATCACAAATGAAACATTAGAAACCCATGTGAGCAAAATATATTGAAATATAGTCCATGTCCATTTGTAGATTCAAATCCACTCTATCTTTAAACATCTCAAGTGCTTTTGATGCATCAGAAAGGCAGCCTGAAAGACTGTTTTTTTCTAAGGAGGGCTGGGGCTATTGTTCTTTAATTCCTCCAGTTTCAAACCGGTCAGTCCTAGAAGAGATCAACCCCGGCTGCTCTTTAGAAGGCCAGATCCTGAAGTTGAAACTTAAATACTTTGGCCATCTAATGAGAAGGAAGGACTCACTGGAGAAGGGCCTAATGCTGGAAAAGATTGATGGCAATAGAAGAAGGGGACGACAGAGAAAGAGGTGGCTGGATGGAGTCACTGAAGCAGTAGGCGTCAGCTTAAATGGACTCCAGAAGATGGTAGAGGACAGGAAGACCTGGAGGAATGTTGGTCATGGGGTCACAATGGGTCAGACACGACTTCGTAACTAACAACAAGGCATTTTTTTTTAAATGATGCCAGAACTTATACTGTTTTTTTCTTCCTATCCTAAGATGATGGAAAACATAATGGAAGCAATTTTTGACCACTGTCCAGCTAACATTCAAAGTATCAAATATTCAAAAAGATTTGTGCAAATTCAAAAAGACATGGTCCAGAGTTACGCTGCTTACTCTATAGTGCATGGAAATGGCAACTTTATTGTCGTTACAAAAGCAATTGTTCCTATCCAAACTGTATAAATTTTCCACTGGCCCCAATACTATCCATAATTTTATTGCACCAGCAGAAGATAAAAAGTTTGTCCATTTTTGTGTTCTTGCTTAAGGTTGCCAAAGAGTCAGTATTGAAGCAGTTGTCCTAGCATTACTGTTTAGGAGGAGAAATAGATGGAAGTTTCTAGTGATCCTGTTGAAAATGGTAAAAGTAGTCCTCGACTTACGATGACGACTGGGATCATTAGATAAAGTAGTTGTTAATTGAGTTGCATTCAATTTTACAACCTTTTATGCTGCAGCGATTAAATGAATCATGTGGCTGTTAAGCAAATCCAGCTTCCCTCACTGACTTTGCTTGTTGGAAGCCCCCTAAGAAGATTGCAAAAGGTGATCACATGACCCAGAACACTTAGCAACCATTCTAAATATGTGCCAGTCTTCAAGTGTCTGAAGTTTGATCTCTATCTCTCTTTGTCTCTCTCTCTCTCTTCTATTCTTCTGGAAACAGCTTTACATACTTTAAAAATAGCAGCTCAATAAACTTTTACAAAATATCATATTTTGCATCCATTATTTTAATTTGGAATCCCTGCCTTGTCACATTACCTAAAATCTTTCTCTGTAGTGTAAGATATATTTAAGGCATGTGGATAATAAATTACATTTAAAAGTTTTGTATTTTAATATACCGAACATACAAGTGAAAATGAAAAGTAATAAACAGATATATGCACAATTTATTCACAGTCTGAAATTATTAAAAAAAGATTTGAAATGATCAAAAAGACAATTTCATATTGTCACAGCTATTAATAAAAGTGTGTAGATAAGGAAATAATCAGTAGCAAGTTTTCAGATGTACTAATTCTGGAACTAGTAAACTATTAATGATGGTCCAGATTTTCCTTCTCAGTTTAAGCATGACAGGGGACAAGCCAAATTACTGACTTGTGAAATTCAAACTTTTTGAAAAGGAAAAGCCAAATCCAATTCCACCAAATATTATAGTGGCTGTCCAATTCCATCATTCTAAACATGTTTGAAAAGTGAGCTCAGTTTAAGCATATAAGATGTTCCTCTTCAGTAATAACAATTGTGTGACATTTCTTGATCATATCAGAAGTGTCTGTGCACCGACAGTAAGAGAGGGGAAGCTAAGCATTGTGGCTGTTCAGATCCCAACCTTTCTTCGCAGGTCAGCCACGACTTTCATCATCTTGGTCTCCTCAATATGTTGGAGGTCAATAAGCACTTAGTGACAAACTTTAACATTTCAAGCAACTTTCCCCACTCACTGCTCTTCAGATATTCTGTTTTAATTCTTTGAGACCACATTGGCTAAGAATTCTGGGAAAGGAACTCCAACATGTTTAGAGGAAACCAAGATGATGAAAGTCATGGCTGACCGGTGAAGAAAGGCTGGGATCTGAACAGCCACAATAATTAGTTTTCCTTCTCCTAATGTCAGTGCTATCAAGGCTAAGCAAAGAGACTTTTACATGATCAAGAAATGTCACACAATTATTATTACTGAAGAGAAACATTATATATGCTTAAACTAAGCTCATTTTCCAAACACTTTCAGAATTGTGGAACTGGCCAGCCCTATAAGCATATAGTAGAAATGTGTTGAACTAGACAACACATAGCTATGGGCTGTGTTCTCATGTTATACTTCAATGATAAAGGATATTTTCTCCTCACTCTTATATCTGAACGTCTATGAAAATTGATGATGACCAACATATTTGGTTGAATAGGCATTTCTGAAATGGCCTTGCCATTAAAATGTCATCTCTTAATGACTAAATATTTCTTCTTCCATATAATAATTACACTATTTTAAGATATAGGATATGCACTGGAGAAAGGTGTTGAATAGGCACTAAATCATTTCTTTCAAGAACAGTTATCTACAAAAGTTTAGATTTCATTCACAGACAACTCAGGGCACAATAGCATCAGCAGCTCCTTCACTATAGACAACCAGTATAACCAAGATAATTATTTCTTAATCCATCTTAGTCTTGTGCTGGGCTCTAGCAGTAACCTATTTGACAGCACATATAGCTGGACACTGAAGTATTCTGTACACAATAAGTTGCCCCTCCAACAGCTTCAATCATATTTATTCAAATACATGGATTTTAAATTATTAATGGATCTTAAATTTTATGGGCTCTAAATCCAAGCTTTTATGTATGTCAACATCTTTTTTGTCCACAAAGAGATCCAATTCTGAAGGAGAATGCAGATAAAGAACAAGAATTACAAAGGTAAATCTGAATGTGGCAAAATGGTATCTTGACAAACCCATAAAAACTACATTTCAGTATTTTTTCTTTGGCTAACACTCAACTTAGATAATTCCGAGCAATTATATTTTGGATTCATCATTCATAGCAAAATATCATTTTTTATCTTTAGATATTACTTAACATAAGCAATGTATCAATGTTTCCTTTGAATGCCAGAAGAATACAGTTTCCAACTGATTTCTAAATGATGCATATTTGTTTTTAATTTGATTTTTAAAAGTTTGCTCTCAGTCTTGTTCAAGTAGCAATTGAATGGACAATGCAATAATCTGTCAAAGCAATGCCCCAACACAAGATGTATACTATTAGTCTAAAGAATCATTAAATGAGCTTGGGAAAATTCTTAGTGTTAAGTAAAGTGAATGTGCAGAAGACATTCACTTTATTTTTGCATTCAGCTTTCAGTTCCAGAAGAATAAGCATTTTAAAGCTCAGCAAAATCTTTTTTTTTTTTTTAGTTTGGGGTACTAAAGAAATAAAGCTTCGAGCAGCATAGGAAATCTGTAGTCAGCATTTTCTGTCAATGATCACCAAACTGAATCATACTTCTAGACAGATTAAAAGGAGGAATGCAAGTGGTAGTTCAGCCAAAGTTAATATCCTCTAGATGTTTTGAACTGCAACATATAGAATTCCAGGGCTGAACATTTTAGAAGTTGTATTGAATCTACTACTGGTGGACAGCAGATTATGGAAGCCTGCTACTGTTAGAAATTCCAACCCAGGGATGGTCTGGAAACATACAAAATTTTGCTCTGTAAAAGTTTACAGATTCATTTGATGAATGACACAGTCACACAGATTGTCTCACCAGTCAATGAAAAGGATAGCTCTTGCTAGGAGGAAAGTTCACTGAAAACCTCCATACCTGCACTAAAAAGGAAGTCAGAAACTGAGACTACAAGACATTACTCCAAGTCCTTCAACAAGTCTTATGTAGAATATTATTTCTTAAATAAAACCAACTGAGGCAGTTGTGGGAAAACCCCAAAAAGAGTTACCCAGCTATAGGCTTCATTCTTTATGGTTGAAATTCTTCCCAGTGCAGCTGCTGATTTTGAATGCAGGAACAGTGAAAACTCATCGGAGTCCTGACCAACTGTGTAAATATGATGCCCATCCAGAGGTCTGGGACAGGCTTTCTTCGTCACCTTAAAAAACACAACACAACTCATATTGGTTTTAAATATCCAGCCCCAGATTTAAATGACAAGACATAAAGCCAATTCAATCTTTTAGTAAATTACATTATACCTTTAATGTGTATACTTAAGATGATTAATATGATTAGAATCACATTAATTACCAATGGTAGGAGAGCTATGTTAGTTAGATACCAGAAAGCATCTGATAGGACCTTTTTTGACTAACACATTGAATTAAAAGACATTTTTTGTGAGCTGTAGAGATCCAGCAGAGTTAAGCAAGAAGTATCAAAGATCTGCCATGAATAGACACTCTCTTGTTTCATACAGATTGATTGGATAATGATTTTCAGGCAGTTTGCTCAATGTTTTTTTAAATGAATAAATTAAAAAAATATATTAAAAAATCATTCTAAAGTTAAATGTTTTGAATAATTTGAACATAAGTAGTCACAGATGGTTTCTTAGAAGCAACAGTTTAAATTGCACTATTGTTTTTGTTAAATAGTCTTTTTTCAAAAGTGTCAAATACAGGAAAATAATGATTCGAACTAGTTGCAGGTATGTTCAAACAAATGTTACTGTGTTTCCCTGAAAATATGACCTAGCCATAAAATAAGACCTACCTTATTTTTTGGGGTTCGGGCTAATATAAGCCCTACCCCAAAAAGTAAGCCCTACTTAAGACCCTTCCCACTCTGTCCCACCATAGGGTTTTTGGCAGGTTGGATCGCATGCCTCTCCCTGCCTTACCTGCTGCCGGTTCAATGTTGCGGCTTGGCTAAACAGTTCAGCTGCTGTGGGCCGCAGTTCCCATCAGCTTCAGGAAGCCTAGGCGATGAAAACCTTAGGCCAGGTTCCTCGCAGCTGAAGCAATTCAGCTTGCTCGGGGTCAGGTTGGCCATCACAGGAGGCGTGGACCGTCCCCATCCTCCAACTCCGCTGCACTTACGGGATGAGCCTCCCACAACGTCCAACCTGACCCTGGGTGAGCCGGATTGGTCACAGGGAGAGGCTGCGTTTTGCAGGAGGACTACAAAGGGCATGCGCGGATCCCTGCAACACTGGAGGCTCCGAGCACTGCTTTTCATGACACTGTTTTTGGCGCCACGTCTATGTGCACTTTTGCCTCGCTGGTTTTGGTGGCGCTTTGAGGGGATGGTCTATCTCCATTCGCAGCATGGCCACCGTCCAATCGCCACACTGCCTCTCAGGAGGGCAGCATCAGCTGCCAATGCAGCAGCGGGGAAGATGGAAGGCAATGCCGCCCACCAGATCAGCCTGGCTGGAGTGGGGTGGGAAACCGAGTGACACAAAAAGCAGTGCTTGGAGCCTCCAGGAGCTGCAGGGATCCGCGCCCTTTGCAGTCGTCCTCCTGCAACATGCAGCCTCTCCCTGTAAGCAATCCAGCTCGCTCAGGGTCAAGTTGGCCATTGTGGAAGGCTCGCCCCGCATGTAGGCCATAGAAAAAAATAAGACACTCCCCCAAAATAAGCCCTAATAGGTCTTTTGGGCCTAAAATAAATATAAGACCCAGGCTTATTTTAGGGGAAATATGGGTACCATGTGCCTCTTCCTTTAACAATGCTAGTAGCAAAACAGATTCACATACCTTGAGCTATTGCAATAAGTTTTCCTTTTTCTTCTGGGCTTAGTTGCAACATGGTGTCTATCACTGGAAGAAGTCTCTGTCTTTCACTGCCTGATTTTAGAAATATAAACTGCAGCAAGACATTCTTCAAATATTCCAGATTAGCAACAGATTTCTCTCGTTCCTGGTTTCTTTCTAATCGCCTTATTTCATTTTTAAGAAGCTGAGAATGAAAAAAGGCCCGAATAAGTATTTCTCAGAATGAAAACAAGAAAGCACAGAATTTATCAGGTGAAGTTATATTAGAAACTAACTCTGAAAACAATATAAGCAGCTATTCCCTGTTAAAAGAAAGACTTAATGTAGTGCAATAGTGAGGTCAGGGTCAGCTTGTGGTCCTTCAGGTATTGCTGAATACATTTCTCACAATTCTTAATCATTAGTTATGTGTCTCAGACTGAAAGGAATAAAACTCACTTATGACCGCACCCCCACTCATTGCAGCCAATAATTCTCTGGGCGGTGATAATGACCCTCCAGAGTGCTTTCCTATCTGCTACTGTGCAGTTGGCAAACCACACACAAATGCAATAGATTAGAATGCTCTCTATGGAGCAGCGGTAGAAGGTCACCAGCAGTTTTTCATTTAGTTGTTGCTTCCTGGGAAGTCTCAAGAAATGTAATCTCTGCTGTGCCTTCTTAACCAATGGCTATAACATGAGCACTCCAGGTCAGATCCTCCTTTATGGTAACACCCAAAAATCTAAAGCTGACCACCCGCTCCACATGATCTCCACTGATATTCAGTGTCTGATCTATTCGTCCTATGTTCTACTATAAGCTCCTTGGTCTTAGTGGTGTTGAGAACAATATTATTGTCTCTGCACCACAAGAGCAACTGCTCCACCTCATCCCGGCAGGCAGATTCATCCCCCTTGGAGATAAGCCCCACCACTGTTGTATCATCTGCAAATTTAATAATAATATTGCTGCAATGAGTGGGGGTGTGGTCATAAGTGTAAAGGATGTAAAGTAGAGAGCTCAACAAACAGCCCTTTGGAGAGCCAGTGTTGCCTAATCTAACCCTCTGAGAGCGGCCAGACAGGACGTTCATAATCCAAAGGCAGATTGAATGTGAAAGTCTGAGGTTGACAAGTTTAGACACCAGTGTGTATGGAAGAATTGTATTAAATGCAGGGCTAAAATCTACAAAGAGCGTCCTTACATAGGTCCCCTGTTGCCCCAGATGAGTTAGAGCAGTATGAAGAGTGACTATGGCATCCTCTGTAGATCTTTTTGCTTTGTATGCAAACTAGTGACTGTCAAGTGTGTATGGGAGGCAGGACACAATGTGCCTGAAGATCAGATTTTCAAAACACTTCATGATAATAGAGGTGAGTGCCACTGTTCTATAATAACTGAGACTGTTAATAAAGGACTTCTTTGGCAGTGGAACAATGATGGAGGCCTTCAGATAGGATTGAATAATGGACTGGGATAGAGATCGATTAAAAATCTTGGTAAAGACCCTGGCCAATTGGTCTGCACAGTCTTTAAGCATCCAGCCAGAAATCCATCAGGTCCAGCAGCCTTCCTTGAGTCCACAGTTCTCACGGTACTCCTCATCTCATGCTCCTCTACAATGAGGGGAGGGGAGGAAAAGAGCAGAATGTCATCAAATTCACATATACCTTAAATCTAAGTTGGAGTATGGTTAAGTATAAGCCTACTAACCTTAATTTGTTCCATTAGGATAACATTGGTTGCTTCTGACTCACGAAGTAATCCACTTAAATGATCAGCACTCTTTGATGTTGTATTTAACTTCTGGACCAACTCTTGTTTTGTGAGTTCTGTTTCCCATTGTGGAGGTTCTAAAATAGTTTACAAAAAGACAATTTCTGGTTAGCTCAGTACATTTTTTAATTATATGGATTCTAATATATGGATATAACCCCAAATTATATGCATTTTAAACTTATCTTTGAAAGTTTTAAAATCCAAATTTTCATTCTCACTCTTGCAAACAATATCAAAACCAATCCCCTTTAAATTTATGAACTTTCAGAATGCTAGCCATCCGTTGTCCATGTATTACCTAATTTATATTGGTCACAACTGTTAAATTAGTCAACATTATAAAAATAATGTATGAAAATTCTACATCTGTTAGAATACTATCAACTGGCACCATCAATTTAAGAATAACGGAGATTTGTAAGACAAAGGTACTTCATCGCAAGCTGGAACTTAGATGGAGTTTTTTTCATTTTTTTGCTTTCCTGTATCTTTAGCTATAGTGCAATGTTTCCCAACTATAGCCATTTTAAGACATGTGGACTTCAACTCCCAGAATACCTGGGAGTTGAAGTCCACACACCTTAAAATGTTTAAGGTTGGGGAAAACTGCTTTAGTTGAAGATGCAAAAGACCTTCAATATAAGGTAGAATCAAGATCACATGAAGTATTAGTACCACTTTATAAAACCCTAGTAAGACCACACCTGGAATATTGCAACTAATTTTGGTCACCATACTACAAAACCGATGTTGAGACTTTGGAAAATGTTTAGAGAAGAGCAATTAAAATGATCAAAGGCCTGGAGACTAAAACATATGAAGAACGGCTGCAGGATTTGGGTTTGGCTAGTCTAAAGAAAAGAAGAAACAGGGGCGACATGACAGCAGTATTCCAGTATTTGAGGGGCTGCCACAAAGAGGAGGGAGGTCAAACTATTCTCCAAAGCACCAGAGGGCAGGATAAGAAACAATGGTTGGAAACTGACCAAAGAGAGAAGCCACCTGGAATTAAGGAGAAACTTCCTAACAGTAAGAACAATTAACCAGTGGAACAGTTTGCCTTCAGAAATCATGGGTGCTCCATCACCGGAGGTTTTTAAGAAGAGACTGGACAGTCACTTGTCTGAAATGGTATAGGTTCTCCTGCTTGAGCAGGAAGGTCCCTTCCAACTATCCTATCCTATCCTATCCTATCCTATCCTATCCATTCCATTCCGTTCCGTTCCATTCCATTTAGAACAGTGGTTCTCAACCGTCTTAATGCCGCGACCCCCAACCATATGGTCATAAGTTAAGGACTACCTGTATTGCCCTGCGGGTGGGGCAGGAGGAAATGCACATGTTCCGCCTCCTCTCCTGCGGCTGGAGTGCACACTGGGCAGGCCGAGGGTGCATGCAGGCTGTCGCCCAGAAACCGCCTCGGCCAGGGAGTGCCGCACATGTGTGGTGCTGCCCCCTGCACTGGCCGAGGCATAGCTGGCAAGCAGCAGTGACGGCGTAGGCCGACCACCGGCTGGGCCACCAACTGGCCCAGCCCAAGGGAGGTAAGCCACCTGCCAGGCCCCACATGCGCCCGCAACCCTCCCTGCACCCGCTGCTGCCCCGCTAGCCTTACCTTGGCCACCGCACCTTCGGTGCGGTGGCAGGCAGGCCCAGGCACTCCTGGGCGGCTATGGCATTTGGCAGCGAGGGCGCAGGGCGACCACCAGCTGGCCCAGCCCAAGGGAGGTAAGGCACCCACTAGGCCCCACGCGCACCAGCAACCCTCCCTGCGCCCGCCCACCTCCCACCACTGGCCCTCTTTTACTTACATTTAGTAGTTGCTCAGCAGGGAGGGGTGGAAACGTCGAGAAAGCTCGCCTTAGCTGCAGACAACTTGCAGCACCATTTGCAGACTGGGACTTTTGGCAGGCTCAGCAGGGCAGAGACAGCCTGGACAATTCCTATTGGCTTTTGAAAGCCAATAGAATTAGAGAATCTATTCTATTGGCTTTCGAAAGCCAATAGATTCTATTGGCTTTTGAATGCCAATAGAATAGAGTCTCTTGAATAGAGTCTATTCTATTGGCTTTCAAAACCAATAGAATAAGAGGGAATAGCACAGCTAAGGAAAAGGGGGAAAAAATGGCGGACTGCGTTGTTTGGCGACCCCTGTGAAATGGTCGTTCGACCCCAAATGGAGTCGTGACCCACAGGTTGAGAACCACTGATTTAGAACCTTGCATAATGAAGGGCTACTTTGACAAAAATTAGCCAGGTCAAAGGCCTTTCTCCAAATTTCAAAAGAAGCCCAGCAACAGGAGCATTTGAACATCTGTGGAGAATTGTAAACCAGATTATTCCCATAGTAATATATAACCCAATGATTCAGAGGCAGAATAGCAATTAGTCCTGTCCATATCCCTTAATAATTTGTCTACTGGTTATATTTTAAATGCATAGTAAATTATATGCAATTTGTTGCTGAGGTATAAAATATTTCTAATGAATGATTCTGGTAATATGCTAGAAATAAAATCTAAACTCCCACGACCCACTGTATGGCCATCTTACCAAATTTGATTTCTGGAGTATTGAGAAGCTGTTCTAAGGATGGCACATAGGTACTGGCAGAAGATACAGACTCTGTGTCAGTGGTTTCCATCCCTTCCCCTTCTTCTCTAGTTACAGCATGCACATCAAGAAGAGGAAGGTCAGTGATCCTTCTTTCTCGCAAACTTTTGGTTGGTAGATTAGAAGGAGCAGAATCTGAAAAAAAAAATGAATGGAAAATAATTGAGACTATTTTTTGAGTTACAAGAGCATTATAAAAGTATATAATAAAACAGTATCAAAAACATCAAGTTACTCAACAGAGCTGCTTCCCAATATTTAAGACAGAAAATGAAAAACTAATCATTTTTGTTGCAAATGAAGCCATTGCATTAAATTATCAATTATAAAAGTAGATTACTCTTTGAGATACCTCTAACTTTGCTACCTGATATAAAATGTCTTCAGCTGAATCTTCCCAGACCATAATAAAATAAGTCACTTGATTTAGTGACAAAAATTAAATTCCACCTTAAAATCATTTATTTAAATGCATGTGACTTACTAAGAGAAAAATCTTAATTTAAATTTAGGCACATGAGTATGGTGGATTAGGTAGCCTAGTTTGATTCCCCCCCCCCCTCAATGAATAATGGATCACTAGCTTACTTTTGGTACTTGGCTCACTTTGGAGTTGAAAAAGTTGGGTTTCAATTTTAGACAGCTGCTGCTGTAATGTTTCCACTGTCTTTCTGTGCTCCTCTTGCAGATGTCTGACTTGATCACGGAAACTATTCCGAAGAGCTTCATTCTGGGCTGTCAGCTGATTCACAGTCTGTGCATGTTCTGACTTTATTACCACATTTTCAGATTGTATTGTGCAAAGTCTGGAAAAAATCCCACCCATCCAAGTTTCAATATTAGAAAAAGTAATAAATACTTGGCGCTAAGAGGAGGGAATATTTATCGTACCACTGCTGGCCATTTCTATAAACAGATTACTTTATTAAGAGATACTCCCATATAGGAATATTGATTTTTAGATCTAAAGATTATTAATGAAGAAAATATTTGGACACATAATTAAAAAAATCATGGCTAGTTATAAGCCAACAGTAAAATATATATATATGCTAAAGAAACTGACTTTTCTCGGAGTTCTGCTTCCTTTGCTACAGTCTCCTGAAGAATTTTATTGTGCCTGTCCAGCAATGTATCATGTTCGGACTGCAAAGTCTGAAGATCTACCACGTTCATTTGTAAATTTTGTTGTGTCTCTTGCAATTTAATCTTCAGTTGTTCTATTACCTTTTCCATATGTTCTCTAAAAGAAAGGAAAGTTCACAAAACATTAGAAAATGTATAACTTGCTTCTTTAAAAGTTACAAGTTATTAACGTAAATTAGAGATCAGCAATTTGAACAATTTTGAACAGGAAGCTTCATGAACTCTTCTCTCAAGTTGGAAGAGGATCGTTTTGATGATCTTTAAGGTGTTAAATGTTTCAAGGCATTTTATTTATGCCTAGGATCACTGGGAGTCGGGTGGCATATACGGTATGTTCAATATTATTTATTTAATTTTCAGGCCTCTAACATCTTATTCTATATTTTATTGAATATTACCATGGGATCAATGTGATTTGATTAGTAACATTGCATAACAGTGTTGTAAAATAATAGTAACAGAAATAATAAATGGATTGGGTTTTCTAACATGTATTCACAAGAACGTTACATGAAATGTACATGTAACAAAACTTTCTGCTATTATTATTCTGGAGAACATTTAGGTCAATGTTTCTGGTGGCATGCTGGCTGGGGAATTCTGGGAGTTGAAGTCCACATATCTTAAAGTTGTGAAGGTTGAAAAAAACTGATCTAGGTAATGGGAACTTTTCTTGATTCCCATCTCTTGGGCAAGTGGATCCTTTGGAACTTAATGTATATTGTTATATTGATCTTATATGAACCTATAGATATAGACTGAACTGTAGCTTTTACAGTTTAATAAGTTTTCTTGAAAAAGAGTATGTAGGATCTGGAACTAAAATGACATATTTTACATAAAATAGAAATTTTGATCAACTATTAGGACTGCTTTATGTTGTTTTTTAGATGTGACTTTAGTTGTGGTGAGATCTTCACAGAATAGAAAAGAAGAGAGATTAAAAAAAAAACTCTGCAAATTTTCTTTTATATTCCTTTCTTGAAAAAAGAACAAGAGGAAGAGCTAACCAGATTTGGCATATTAACTCATTCAGCCAATTTTAAAGGTAAAAATAAATAACTGATTAAATACTCTCTATTTAAAAAATCAGAATAAAAATTATCCAGACTTTATAAAAAAAATAGTGGATTCCAGATAATCATTTTTCCGTCTTCAAAGATGATTCTTGAGCCAGGGGCTAAAAATATGATTCAAAGCAAAATTCAACCCATTACATGTAAAGCTTACCTTTCTTGTTTGGTCACATCAGTTTCAGATTGTGAGGATTTATTCTTCTGTTTTAATACATTATGAACACGGACTTTGTAGTTTTCAAATTCAGAAGTTATAGCAAAATGTTCTTCCTGCAGTGAGACACATGATAAAATGAAAATAACTACTGGTAGTCCTTGACCTATGACCTCTTGTTCAGTGTCAGTTCAAAGTTATGATGGTGCTAAACAAATGGTAGCTATGATCGGTCTTTGGAGATCTGCCCATACCAGCATCTCAAGGTCACCTAATCATTAGCTGGGCACTTGGAAATCAGTTTGCACTTATCACTGGTTGCAGCACCTTGATTACCATATGCAACCAGGAAGTCAATGGGAAAGCCAGCAGGAAAAATTGCCAGCATCTCTGAACTGGCACTCATACCCCCCTCCACACACACACCGTGACTCACACTGGCTCCCTACACACTCTCCCTGACCTGAGTTGTACCTCCCACACACTCACTCACATTCTTGTTGACCTTCACTATGCCTCTCATGCATCCCCTTGCATCCTCCTTGACCCTGAGCCCTGTGCGTCCTCCTTGACTCACTGCTTTATGACTGTATCACTTAGCAATAGAAATTCCAGATCCAATTGTCATCATAAGTCAAGAACTACCTATACTTTCTATATAAAGAGCTAAGTAACCACTTATTCACTAAAAACATTTAATTTTAAATGTTTAAATCTTTCTTGATTTTCATAAGATAAACTGTTTGAATGTAATGAATATATGCCTAATTTTATTGGAATAGGAGAAAAAATCTTTTCTTTCAAAACTACCAAGTACCAATGTTATTTCACAGCCTCCCCATACACCATAAATGATAGAATAAGTACAATGTTATTTGTAACCAAAGTGTACCCAGCTGCTTCACAGGACAATTACTATGCAAGCTAGAACAAAAATTTTAGAAGGTCTGATTTTGACATGACACATTAAGGATGTCCCTTTCTAAAGCTACATCCATCAAAAGCCTAATTATAATTACATTCTGAGTCATTCAATTTTCCAAAAGCAAATAAAATTGGAAATTGCATATTAAATCTTCAGGAGCTTGTTACAGAGCCCATAAGAGCACTATGCTATAAACAGAGTGTCTACCTTTTAGCCCAGTGAACTCCACAGATTATTCAAAAAGTACAAATATTTTAGCATCTTTTCCATCTGCTTTCCAAAATAGTCTTTGGTAAAGAAAAGAAGAACTAGGGGAGACATGATAACAGTATTCCAGTATTTGAGGGGCTGCCACAAAGAAGAAGTGGTCACATTATTTACCAAAGCACCAGAGGACAGGATAAAAAACAATGGTTGGAAACTGACCAAAGAGAGAAGCAACCTGGAATTAAGGAGAAACTTCCTGACAGTGAGGACAATTAACCAGTGGAACAGCTTGCCTTCAGACATTGTGGGTGCTCCATCACTGGAGATTTTCAAGAGGTTAAACAGTCATTTACTTGTCTGAGATGGTATAGGTTCTCCTGCTTGAACAGGGGGCTGGACTAGAAGACCTTCCAGCTCTATTCTATTCTAAATAGAGCCTATACTCTACAAAGTATACAAAGTAGCTCAGTCCCCACAGAAGGTGAATGTTTAAAAGCCACCTTTTAATACAGTCCTTAGAATCAAACCTTGGTAAGATAAACCTTGGTAATTTCTGCTCAAAACATATACACACATACACACAAAGCTTTTTTACTCTGTTTAAGTGCCATGCAATCAACTGAAAGTCCCTCCTTGTATATGCAGCCTTTGGAGAAGAGTTATGACATATAGGAAAAGATACCAAATGCCTATATTACTGGATGTAAGAAATAGTGCATCAAGCAGATTAGTCATGACAGGCATAGACAACGAATGTTATTTCTTAAAGAAAACAATACATCAGGGCAACATGTGTTTGAACTTTTCCATTGCCTTTAATTAATATACACTCCTCGTGGCATCTATTTCATGGGAAACTGATCTGAAGTCTTCAACACCATGTGTTTAAACACTATGAATGGTCCAATTGACCATTCAGTTCCACCTGGCAGGCCAGGCTAGAAAATCTACAAGAAGGTTAAAACTACTTTTACTGAGATTGGCTATAAAGCCCAACATTTCTGTTACTACATGAAACATTTGCTAAGTGACTTTGCCCCATGTTGTCACTTTTGCCATAGTTGTTTAATGAATCATTGCAGTTGTTAAGTGAACCTGGTTTCCCCATTGACTTTGCTTATAGGAAGGTCTAAAAAGATGATCACGTGACCCCCCCCCCAACACTGCAATGGTCATAAATGAGTCAGTTGCCAGGTAGCCAAATTCTGATCATGTGACCATCCGGTTAGAAGTGTGAAAAATGGTCAGTGCCATTGTAACTTTGAACGGCCACTAAATGAACTGTTGTAAGTCGAGAGTCACCTGTATTAACAGAACCTTGCAAGTCTAACCTTGCAAGTCTAACCCCTCCTTCTCCTTATACTCCAGTGAATCAGGGAGGTTTCTGCATAAGCGGCTTCCGAATGTGATCTGACTGCTGTGGACTTGCTGCTTTCAGCCCCTTTTTTTCTAAGTAATAGCACATCTCCACTGAGGTCCTCTTCCTTACCCTCTAAGCTGCCTACTGAATTTTTTGCAGAGGAACTTGAGGCAACCGGACTAGATTGGCTTGAAATACCTTTGCTGCATTACATTCTTCTTGGAGAGCAGCTACTTTCTGCTGATAAGTACTCAAAACCCGCTGATGCTGCTCTAGTGAAGTCCGCAGTTGTTCCTGAATTTTGTGCTTTTCAGAAGTTAGTTCAGATAGCTGAATCTGCAAAAGTACATTTATTTCAGTACAATGATTCTCGTTTACTCTTATTTTAAGGCTAATAGTAAACTGGGGCTATATTCGTTATTTTGAATTGCAAGCTAATTTATTTATTGATTAATCAAATTTATATACCTACGCATTTCATGAGAAGTGACTCATGGTACTCATGGCAAAAGAGTTTAATCAAACAAAACTCAAGATTGGCAAAGCCATAAAGTGTTGCCTCCAAGTAAGCAAATCAAATTTACAGAGAAATGACCAAGAGGACACTTTTGTTATATAGCACAGGAAATGTCTCCAAATGATGTAGATCTTGACATGTAAATCACAAAGTGATGCGAAAATGGCTGTTGCTGCTTTTCATATCCATAATATGGAGGCTGTTATATTGATGCATGCACGCAAGATCCAGAATCAAAAATCTTGGAAAGGAACACCTGTGTAATTCAGGAACTGTCTCGTGCATCTAGGCCCAATTCAGAGATCCTCTGTGTAAGGCCCATTGCTCCCTTATATTTGGGGAAATTCATCTCTAGCCAAGCGTGAAGAAATTTCCCTAAGTATCTGAGCTTCAGTTCCCAGAATGAAAATAAATTTTCTAGTCAGTACAATATCCACAGCATTACTGGTAGTGAAAGAAACATATTCACATAGTTCAAATTTGTTCAGAGTGTTGAAAGAGGAGTGGAAGTTGTGATACACACATTCCAGGCAGATATTGGATATAATATCAATATGCATAAAATACTCTTTTTTACTAGTCTGAAAGGGGGGGGGGAAATAGGATCTTGCCTTATAACCTTCCATTTGTTGCTGATTGGCTTCTAGTTCTCCCTTGAGAGATGCCTGAAATCTTAAAAGTTCATTTTCCTGGAATAAAAATATTCATAATAATACCATTAAAACATTATTATACATTGTTGTCAGAAGACAGTAAAGCTGAATTCATAGTGGAAAACACAAACTTACTGCTTGTTTTGAGTCTGCCAATTCTTTTTTTGTTTTTACCAGTAATTGCTTGAGCTTGCCATTCTTTTCCTCGTACTCCTGTACAGAGTTTTGTAAGCATTCTAAGGAACAAAATAATTCTTGTTGCTAACTTGTTTAGAAAGATAGCAGAAATTTAATGAAACATGATTTTCCTACTTAGGAGTTTACGCAAATGCTACCTGGATAAAGTTTCTCTTTTATTGAAAAAAGATTTTCTTGTACTTTTTTATTTCAGTTTACAATAGCAAGTCACATAATTGAATAAAATTTTGCAAAAAAATTCAATGATCTATTTTTTAACTCTAATGACCGAACAATACTTTGTTAAGTAAAGCTTGTTTAATAAGCATTTGATTACATAATATTAACCATTAATTCTGGAAATATGTGTTCCTGTCTGTTAACTGGAGGCCACTGAAGTGTATTAAAATATGCCAGTTTTATAGCACATTATTTTGAATCAGAATTCAAAACCCTCTTGAATTGACATATATCCTTCTATAGGCAGAAAGTAAGCTTAATTCTAAAAAGCTGCTTACTGATTTCTTCCTGTAGAATTTCTTTCTTCTGGTTTTGTATTTTAATTTCTTGCTCAAGATCTTCAATTCTGCTACTTTTGTCCGTAATGTTTTGATTAAGTTCTTTTACAAAACGCTCATAATCAGCTATTTCCATATCCATCAATGTACTTTTCTGAGCATCCTGTATATTAAAACATTCAATACATAATTGCAGTTTTAATTTTGTTCCTTGTCTAGAAGTCATTAGCTATTTCTCTCCTATCCTAAATCAACATACTGAGTATTATTCAAATAAAAGTTAGGATTCTGAAACTACCAGAACCAAACAATATTAAAAGATGACAAATATTTAACTAGAAGTACAACAAGTAAATAAGGAAAGTACTCATCTACCTTTTTTGCTAATTCTAGCTCTTCCAAAACTTTCTGAAGATGCTTCTTTTCTTTCTGTAGTAATGTCTGAAATTCTTCTGCTTCTCTGACAGAGTGAGCATGGTCCTGCAAAAATAGTTTGGGCTCTAAATTCAAATAATCAAAATAATTGTTTTTTATTTTATTTTATAATTGTGCTATTTACCTTTATTTTTTGTTCTTTTAGAAGCTTTTCAGCTTCAAGTTCCTTATCAACTTTTGCTTTGGCTTTCTGGATTTCTAGCAGTTGCGTTTCTAACAGCTTGGCATTAGTCTGAAGAGTCTCAACACGAGTCAAGAGGTCTTCATTTGCAGAAAGCCACTGTTCTTTCTAAAATAAAGAAATAATACAATTACAGGTATGATGGCAAACCATTATTACATTCTGTATATGGGAACTTCTAACAAACTATCATTTAAATATTTGCACTGCCTAAAGCAAGAGCTAAGTTTCCTACTAATGTTCCCTCAAGAGCTGAGAAAGCTTAAGGTCAACATTGCATACATCAGAGCAAAAAGTGTGTAAAGGCCTTCCTCCTTTTGATTCTCATTCTCTCTCTCTCTCTTTCCCTGTTGTTTTGCCTGGGAAGGATAAAAATATTAAATAAATTGTTGGCAAAACAAAAAATTCTCATTAAAAAAGAAAAATGAGAATAGTCAAGAACAGCACTTCAATAAACTTTCCATAGACATTTGGCTACTCACTAGTGGCAACAAAGAGCTGGATTAAAAAATCAGAAGTGTATTGCCAAAGATTTTTCTTATATTTGAGCCTTAAACAGCGGTCTCCATTTTCCTCATTTTTGCACTTACTTTTATTCCCTGCTTTGCAAATGCTAATATCAAATGTATTTACAATATATGCGTTACTAAAAAAAAATACCTGCTGAACTGAATTCTCCAACTGTTTGGTCAGGTCATCAATCTGACATTCAAAATTACGAGCTCGAGTCTTTTGAAAATCCAGTTGTTCTGCTTGCTTGTCATATTCTAATAAAAGATTCTTGAAAAGCACATGTAATTTAAAATATTGTTGATATGTCCATAGTACATTACACATGTACAAGGAAGCATGCAACGTTTTCTATACCCCATCACCATGTTAGACAAATTGACTTTTTACCCCAATGGAAGTAAGTCTACATTTTATTTTCTGTAATCTTGTGTGAAAACTACATTGCTGAAACACTAGCATGCTTCATAGAAAAGCACCAGCTTCAGCATATTTATTTCTAAAAATGCCTCTGATTGCATGTCTTCCTCTTTGGCATTGTTTCAAAATGGAAGAAGGAGTGACTGCTATTCAATGACTTCTGGGTTCAAAAAAAAATGGGAAGAGACAGCATTGGAAGGACATCTGTTTTTTTTTTTTTCCTGATGAATGGATGTCTGGTATGTGATTGTATCACACCAGGACAGCTTTTTGGCGAGAATGCTTTTAACATGTTCTCAAAATTCTACATGCATATACCAGACCAAAACAGCTACCTGTTCCTGAAATGCACCAGGTAAACGTAAAGACGCTTTACCTTATAGCTCTCAGCTCCCTGAATGATGTCTGCCATTGAAGAAGAGAGTCGCTCTTTTTCTGATTTTATTAATTCCAGTTCTTCTCTAAGTGACTGTACCTAAAGGCAGAAGAAAATGTTAATCATGGTGGCAAAGATGGTCTTCACTGAATGGAAGGATGTATTTTTCAATGATCCACTTTTTAAAAAATATCCTACAGCATTTGCGCAGTCTTTCAAAGACTCTCTAATTCTACAGGAGCATTTTCATAGCTTATAGAGAACCCGCGATACAAGAATATCTATTTAATAAATATATTTGGCCCATTAAATTCTGACTCTCACTCAAAGTTTTAAAATTATGATCAGTCCATTGCAAAACCTCACAATTGCTAACACACCTCCAAAGTAATGCATCTAGCTCTTTCAATATGAGTATCTTTAAGTGGAAAATCCATAACAAAGTTTGTAAGATTAAGAAGTAGTTCCTGTGATTAACCTTGATATCTAAGTGTGTTACATCACTAATACACTTAAGACAAAGTATTCTTTGTAGCTTTTAACCTCTGCACATGGGAATAGGAGAAAAAAAAAACCTATAGCCATCTCACCAGTGCCATTGGAACTGAAAAAGGCATTAAACAAGGCTGTATATTGGCCGTTCTTAATTAATTTCTTAAAACAAACTTTCACTCTCCAAAAATGACTGAAAGGCATATCTTTTATTTCATGTAGACAATGAAATGATATGAAGGAAGGTGAATATATGTGTCCCAGAATAATGCTGCAGAATGAATGTGCTAGAGAGAGGTTCCCTGAAGTCTAGTACAAGTCTGAACGCTCAGAAGACAAAACGCTAGTCCTGGTGACTGACTCATATTGAATGCAGTGATACTTTCAAGAACATCTACTGGGCTTGAAACAGCATCAATGTATTTTGAATGCCTTTTAATTGACTTATGCTCCACCTACCTTATGCTGATCTTTGACCATAATAAAGATTTGATTTTGATAAAAAAAATCTTTGAAATAAATACAGAGCAAGTAATTATTTTAGAAGTTTAAAAAGAAAAATTCTAAAACTGTCCTTAAGATGTATTCAGGAAGCCAGTTCAAACAGAATAAAGAACTAATAAAATATATCTCCAACGAATTCTACTGAATATGCAGACTACTGTTGCTGTGTGCTCACTGCAAAATCAACTGAAAACTTGCCACATCCACACCCATAAATGTATGTAAATTAAGAAACAAAATAGCTTTTAGTTATCAAAGTAACTAAAGCCAGATGTTCAGATAAGCTCAACATTTACCCTTTAAAAACAAAGAAATAAGGTAAAAGCAGGCCTTAGAAACATTATATGGTGCCAGAATGACATTTATTTATTTTATTGATTTCTATAGTCCCCCATCTCAACGAACGACTTTGGGCGACTGACAATTCAGAAACATATATTACAATTAAAATCATTACCATTACTTTAACGTATTGGTAATTATATTATCAATGTATTTGAATGTAAATATAATTTACAGTGCAATGTAATTACATTACCAATACTTCAACTGAATGAAAGTCCATAGGTTTCCTTTGACAACTTACCTCTTTCCTGCTAGAATCCAGTTCTTTCCTCAATTTCACAGCAACAGCTTTAATTTTATTTATTTTTTCTTCCTTTTCTTTCAGCTGTTTTTCCAAATTCACTAAAGCAAACCAAATTAATATTTTAAAATGTAAAGGCAAAAATCTTCTATAGTCAATAACTATATTTAAAAAAGATTCATTTCATTATTTATATCAACACTTAAATTGTATGCTGTATTTAGTAACCATTTCAATGGACTTCAGTTAGACATGGCCTAATGTTTGACATTTATTTAGCAGCACCAAATTCAACAATGAATAAATAATACATATCCAATGTGGTAAAGGTTTTCATATTCCCTTTTTCAGACATATCAAATTAAAATAAATTAAGTGATTGTTTGCTACTTCATCTCAATCTCTCTTAAACCCTAAAGTACAAAATTCTTTTTAAAGGGGAAGCTATAATGCTCAATATCTGACTGAAAGCCTGTTATTTAAATTATCATTTGCATGAGTTTTGTCAATTAACCATATTTGCTCTCAAGAGCATTATACTAAAACTGTAATTGGAAGCCTATAATTTAAGGCAGATGCAAAGTTTCTTGCTTAGCAGAGACTAGCAGGGCATTACTCCATATAACAAACTCTAGAAAAACATTTAATGATTTCTGTACAAACTCTTCATAGCAGTATTAGCAGTCAAAAACCCTCCCAAACAAAATGTACATGAATTACCTATTTTCTCTGTTTCTGATAATTTCTGATCATGATCAGCAGAAGACTTCTCCACAGACTCCTGCATTGTGAACAAAAATAAATAAGATGGCAGTTCAGCAGATAACTATCGTTGCTTGGTGAGGGAAAGGAAACAAGTCCTAGAGCAGAACATCCCATCATAATCTTAACATAAAATAGTCAGACTGGACAATTTTTTTTCTATTCAATAAAAACAACAGAATGATTTACAGGTAGTCTTCAACTTATAGCAGTTTTTTTAGTGATTGTTTGAAGTTACAACCACACTGAAAAAAGTGATCTGTGACCACACTTATGACCATTGCAACATCCTTATGGACACATGATCAAAATTCAGAGTCTTGGCAACTGACTCATATATATGATGGTTGCACTATGCCAAGGTCATGCATAGTGGGGAAACTAGATTCACTTAACAACCTTGTTACTAACTTAACCACTGCAGTGATTCACTTAACAACTGTAGCAAGAAAGGTCATAAAATGGGGTAAAACTCACTTAACAAATGTCTCATTTAGCAACAGAAATTTTGGGCTCAATAGTGGTTGTAAGTCAAGGACTACCTGTATATAGCATAAAAGACTTCTACATAAATGCAGATATTAGCATTTGGGCATTATTAAATTACAAAAACATAAGGTTTTTTCATATGTTTACATATGCCTTGATTAGTGACATTTCACAATTACAAGTATTAAAAAAGTAACTTTGCAACCAACTCTGTTGGTCTGTAAAGCAAAGGAAAGCTGAAGCAAGATCATGAGCATAGCTGCAGTTTCATTTAGTGTCCATTTTGCTTAATGGCCACATTGTCAGGCCCAACTGTGATAACTAAATAAGTACTACCTGTATTTTGGATCAGCCAGTGACAAAGAAACCTTTAAACATATTAACTGGTAGTCATGAAAATCGAACTTTACACACATACACACAAACACAGAGACAATCTTAATGCTCACTAAGATCAAAAGAAACCACTGAAAATTTAGCAAAGGTACATCTTTGCACTTATTCTCGTATATATATGAGCAGCAGAGAAATTTGCTTGCATATACTTCCCCAAAGCTTTCCGATTTAAGTCTTGGAGAATAAGTCTAAAGATTTCAATAATAAAAGCCTAACCTTTAGCAAAGAAAGTTCAGCTTGCACATTTCTCAGTTCAGTCTCCTTTTGCTCCAAAATTAAGGTTAGATTTTTCTGTTCTTTTTCTGATTTTTCTTCCTGCTCTTTCATTTTGTTTTCTTGGTTTGCATGTTGTTCAGAAATATTTTCAATGTGAGCTAGAAGATCTTGGTTCTCCTTCCTGATTTTCTCACTCATGTGTTTCAATTCTTGAATATCCAGTTGAAGTACTTCTTTTTCTGAGAATGTTCCTTCCAATTCCTCTTTTAAGAGACATTTTTCTTTTTCATAATCATCCAATAGAGACCTGAACTCTGTGCACCGAGCAGCATTTTCTTCCTGGACTCTCTGCAATTCTTGCCGCAGATTAACATTTTCATCTTTCTGAGAGATCAGACTTTCTTCCTCTTGCTTCATTTTTGCCAAAAATTCATTTGCAGCCTGCAATGTGTCAACAATACCTTCTTCTTTGTTTTCATCTGGGTATTTGGAGCCCATCTTTTCATGGAGACTCTGCAGCTGACTAACAACAAGAGATTTAAAGGCCTTTGTTTCCTCAAGTACTTTAATCAAATGGTTTTTTTCTTCACAGGCCATTTGTAGTTTCACTTCTAAGCTGGCTGCTTTATCTTTGGATAGATTCCAGTCTCCTTTTTCAGATGACAAGCGGTCTAGCTCCAGCCTTGCTTGGTCTTGTTCTTCCTTCAATTTGTTATTCTCAGATTTAAGAGCCTCTATTTCAGATAACAGCCCTATTCTATCTTGTTCAAAGTCTTCCATTTGTTGTTCGGATTTGATCAGCTTCTCCTGGTTTGTTTCTTTTTCCACAGAAACACCTTTCAATCTCTCCCCCAACTCTTCAGCCTGTTGCTTTAATTGATGGTTGCATGTGCTAAGAGCTTCAACTTGTTGCTGAAGTTCCCCTACCGTCTCTTGTTGTGTTTTGCATTTTTCTTGCAGCTTTTCTATTTTCTCAGCTGAGCCTTTCATTTTGTCAAGGAAGCTACTATTCTGCGAGGAAAGTTCATTTCCTTTCTCTTTCATTTGTTTTAGGTCAGACTCCTTTTGATGGAGACAACAAACCAGTTTCTCATTCTCTTCTTGAAGAGTCCCTATTTTATGCCTGAGCTCTTCTACCTCCTCTTTTTGGGAGGAGAACTGTTCTACCTGTTGATGGAGAGAACTGATCTCTTCTCGGAGGACATCCCTTTCATTGAAAGCAGCTCGGAGCTTTTTCTGTAATTCATCAACATCAGAAGCCTGCTGTTGCTTCATACATTCAAATTCTCGGCTTATCTTCCCAGCTGATTCCCCCAATTCAGTCTGCAAAGTTTCCAGTGTTTCTCGCAAGTTCTCATAACTAGTAATGGCTTCTTCTTTCTCCTCTATATGCCTCTGACATTGTTCTTCGAGGTCCTGTATTTTAAGAGTAAGTGATTGGGTTTTTTTCTCTGCACTCGATGTTATAGCTTGATTCAGTTCACATATTTCTTTTTTATGTGTTTCTACTAAATCCTCCATTTTGAGGCTATTCTCTTTTATGTTTTTTTTGTATAGTTCTTTTGCCGACTGGAGCTCTGATTTCAGTTTTTCTATTACACAACAATGATCTTCTTTGGCAAGTTGCAGTTCATTAATTTTGAATTCCAAATCTTCCTTTTCATGAAAATACTCATCTTTTATATGTTGAACTTCCATTTCCAGTTTCATTTTAACATTGTTCATATAAGTTAATTCATCTCTTAATATACTATGCTGAGATTCCAGTTCTTTGAAAGCTTTCTCTACATGCCCAGTCTTTTCTACTATTTCTGTTTCAGCATTTCTAGTCTCATTTTGATTTTCTTCATCTTTAGTCAAGGTCTGCCTTATGCATTCCAATTCCTGTTCATATTTCTCCTTACAAGCATGCAATTCAACCTGCATCTCTTTCTCTTTTACCTTGTATTGCTCTACCAAATCCAGCTTTAGCTTATCTATTTTAATTTGTTCTTCCTCACACAATTTAGCAGAGGCTTCAAGTTGCTGTAGTAGCTCTGATAACTCATCTTGGTGAGAAGCCTTCAGTTTGTCAATAGTGTTTTGATAATGTTGAGAATTACTTTCAATATTATTTTTTAGTTTGGTAATTTCCTCTTTTTTCGATTCATTGGACAATTCTATCTGTTTCTTTAGATTCAAGATCTGCTCTTCGTAAATGATCTTTGTCTGCTGGAGCTCTTCCTGTAGTCTTCTGATTTCTTCATGCTCATTAGTATGAAAGTTAAGCTGTTCTGTGAGCTGTTCTTGTTTTTTCAGTTCTGTATGCAGCTCCTTTTGCAATGTGATTATACTTTCATCATATTTGGATTGTGCTATTAATCCTTCATTTTTAAGGCTTTCAATTTCTTTCTGGTGAGAGGTATTCAATTGGGCAACTTTCTTCTGCCATATTTCTTCCTGAGCAAGAGCATCCTAATTAAAAAAAGTAAATCAAATATGTGATGAAGCATCATAAAATCATCAGATCTATTTTATAGAAGTAACAATCAAAGGATTAGTATGTTTTACAAGAAATATACATGTGCAATCTGCAGAGTTATTATTTTTGATGTTTACTTTCATCTCAGCTTAGAGCAGTGATTTTTCTGATAAGAGAAAATGTACATTTTCTGGGAAATTCTGGAAGTTGAAGTCAACACATCCTAAGCTGCCAAGGTTGAGAAACATTGTCCTATACAATGCTTTTATTAAACATCACGCTCTTGTGGGGTTCATACCTAGCATCTGCACATGCCTGTTTGCAAGAGAGAAATGGGAGCCAAAAAGCTTAAATGAAAGGATTTTCTGGGATCCAAATCTATTTAATAAACTATATTTAATGTCAACAATTTCCAATTAACTCTTCTTACAGAGTACCTCTGCTTCTTGCTGCTTTTTCACATTGTCTTTTTTCAGCACTACACACTGCTGCTGGGCTTCTGCTTTCTCCAAAAGAACCACATTCAGTTTCTCTGTAAGAGCCTAGTTTTTGAGAAGAGACAAAAAAGTTATAATTATCTTCCAAAAGCAGAGATACTGTACTTAATTTTATTTATTAATGTATATATATAGCACTCTCTAAATTCTCTTTTTTCTTTGCCAGAGACAATACCAGAACTATTCTCATCTGCCTGAGTTATTGCTTATTTGACATAACACCCAGAAATTTGAGGGGATGGGAAGGGAGTTATTTAGCATCATGATTTGACTGTTCTCTTACATGAAAGTTATTCACAAATATTTGTTTTCATATTAATTATAGCAATGGTATTTCAGTGAAATTCATATATAGACATTCTTCAAAAATGATATCATTACCAGGGAAGGAAAACAATTCTGTCATTACCATTGAAGTGAAAAAACTAGCAAAAACACAACTTATCAACACACATCCTACAGTCAATTTTGGTTATAGAAGATATTCATCATTAATCCCAAAATTCTGAGTAAGCTTTATTTATCAATATCTACTCTATCACATTAACTTAGGAGAGAAGAAGCAAAATCAAGAAAGTACTTATAAATATTTTTATGGTTAGCCATATTAGGAGGTTTCACTTGTGTTTTTCAATTAGGGCAATTTTAATCCTACACGAGCCTTAAACTGAAGTTCATATGAGCCAAGCAAACCATGGTTACTTAAACTATGTTTTTGTAAACTTTTTTTCATTTTAGAGTTAGAATGCAAAACTGAACTGAGGTTAAAGGAAAATGGAAAACAGCTCCTTGTAGCTACAATGAAGAGCAAGAGGAAGATGAGTATGAGTCGAGGTTTCTATTATATTATAGTATTTCACCTGCATTTTTCTGGATTTTTTTTTTGTTATTCTGTTTCTCGCTGTTAAAATAAACCTACCATTAAAATTATAGACTGATCATTTCTTTGTCAGAGGGCAAGTGTACAAACTCAGCAGGGGATAAAATACTTTTTTCCTTCACTGTGTGGTGAGCTGAGTAATGAAAGCTAACAATTCTTTTCACTATCTCAACCTTGCTTTTTTAAAAAAAAAATAATACATTTTTACACCAGACATGAGGCTATCATAAACAATATTCAATTCTAAGAGCACAGAAGAAGCTAAAAAGCTACCCATATTCAGAGAAATTCAATTTAAAATTTATTCACAATCAACGGCAGTCTTATCTCTGGGCAAATGATGTAAAAGACATAAAGAGCAATGTGAGCTATATAACTCAAGCAATTACCATTCCTACTGGACCAAACAATGAATTTTTGGGGAATTAAACATTATTGCACCAAATGTTATGCATTATTATGAATTCATACCTGAATAATATCGTCAGTTCCTCCAGACACAGATGTTGTTTTTAGTTTCTCAATTTCCTTTTCTAGTTCTAGGGACAATTATTATTTGAATATGAATCAGTATCTTGTTATATTTGTATCTTGTTTTTTCACAATACCAAAATATAATCTGTAGAATTCAGCATTATTAACAGGAACATGTATAAGTTAGCTTGACACTTATAGTTCTTCCAGGATGATTCACATCATGGATGCTAATGCAAATTATGGGGGGGGGGAGGAAGGATTGGCTAAATTTCTCCAGAATATTCTGCTATATGGCTTTTAAATAAATTTAAATGAGTTTCAGTAAAGGTACCTGCACATCTGCCTTTCACTTTCTGTAAAAGCATCATTTGCTTCTTTGCAAATTTGATGAGATCTTCTCTTGTTAATGTGTCCAGCTGTAAAATCCACAAATGCAAATTAAAATGGATGCATGTTCAAATTTCATTTAATCATATTCATAATCATACAGCACATGAGATTTGGTTCTGTTTTCAACCAATATGTTACTGCAGATGTTGTTCACTTCAGGACTCATAAGAAAATGTTGTAATGTATAATGTAATCTTTTTTGTTTAATATCGCCGTAAAACACATTTAGTTCCAATAGATCTGCAAAATGAGATCAACCTTTCAAAACCAATAATACTTAAAAGTCTTGAAAATTACAATAGACCTGCATATTCCTCCACTGTGTGTCTTAAAATATTACTTTGGCCAATTAAATAAAGTAAGATAGCTTGAAGAGCTTCATAAATACTGCTCTACAGGTCCAGTAACATAAAATCTTCAGTTTCCAAGTCTTTACTAAACTACAATAGACAATATTGTAGTATTGGGTACTAAAAATTTCGGTAATAAAATTCTGTGTAATTGGTTTAGCAGATCAAAGAATTATAAATGTCTGAAGACAGTTTTATTTAAGTCCATTTGCATCTTAACCAATTACACAGAAGGAAGTTTAAAAAGAATATCTGAATATTGTAAAAACTATATTTTATTTTAATCAGATTATTGCATGAAAGATCAATAAAAAAAATAAAAATTTCAATTACTTTTCAGGATATAGTTGCAGGATGTTTCTGGTAAAAACTATATCCATCGTTACTTGCTAAATAAACAAAATAAACTTAATGGCAGTGACTCTGTATTTACATTTAAAACAAAGTTAGTATTTACATTTGAAAATGAACCATTTTATTAAATTAGACCTCTTTGAGTATTGTATCTCATTCTGGGCACCACTATTAAAAAAACACCTTGACAAATCAGAGGAGATTCAGAGGATTAATAACAAGATAGTGGGGGTTTGCTAATATAATAAAATAAAGCCATATAATAATGTTCAAAGAATCTGGGTATGTTTAGCTTACAGAAGAAACAACTAATAGATGATAGCAGTCTTTAAAAAAATCTGAAGACTTCTTATATAGAAAAGAGAGCAAATTTATTATCAATTGCCCCAGCGTTCAGGTCCAACTAGTTAAAACTACAAGGAAGCAGGTTCTGCTTAGATATCAGGACAAATTTCCAGTGCGGTAAGCTATTAGCCAGTGAAATAGGCTTTGTTGTGAAATGATGAGTTCTCCTTCATTAGAGGTTTTTAAGCAGAGGCTGGATAGTCACCTATTAGCAATGCTCCATTGAATCCTATTCAAAGTGAGCTGGTGGTAGCAATCTAGATAGTGTTCCACATTCTTAGCAACTTTGAATTGACTTTAACTATCAAACCTCTCTTGCCAACAGGTTGAAATCCATATATTTTAAAGCTGCTGAAGTTGAGACCCTGATAGTGACTTCCAACTCTATGATTATAAAGGTGCCAGAAATGTCTGTAGAAATATACCTTTGACTTCCCTGTTGAGGCTGTAAGAGGAGAAGCTGCCATTTCTTGTCCATTATCTTGCAGCTAAGCAGAAATAAAGTTTTATATTAAAAATAGCATTTAAATAATTCCATTATTAAACCAGCTAAAGGAATAATTAACATTTTAAATTACAGAAAGAGATCTTAGCAATTCTGCTTTATATTTACCCCAAAATATTCAATGGTACTTGCTAAATTAATGTGGTGCTTTGGATTTGATTAGGAAGAGGTAAATGCAGGATTTATTAGTTACTTATTAAATTAGGTATGTCTTTTTCTTGCTGTTGAAAGATTTCTGCATCAATGACAAAAGGGAAGTGGCATTTAGGGCTAGACTGATATAGTGGTTGGGGTTTCAGGCTAAAAGCCAGGAGGCTAGAATTCCACTTCCACCTTAGGCAGAAAGCCAAATGGATTACTTTGATCTAGTCATTCTCTCTCAGCCCTAGAACGGTGGCAGTGGCAAAAATGTTGTCAATAAAACTGTAGGGGCTCCATGAGGTCATCAGGAGTTAAGACTGAGTTGAAGGCACAAAATTCTTTTCAAGGGAGAATATTAGACCTATCTGCAGGCTTCCACAGCGGCTATGTAATCTCAGAAAAAGACAGATTTTTAAATGATACACAAGCATGTGCTGCATTTATGCTCTAGCTTATTGCAAAGCACCTTTTCCATATTTTATCAAAAGTACTGCATAGTCCTATTGTGCATAGTTTATCCTGGAAGAAAAAATTACAAACTTTATATACTAAAGTTCAGTTAGGAAACCAATTACCTTCTATAGATCTGATAAAAAGAAAACTGTATTGGATGTTGTGAGAAACAAAAGAACATTACAATACAAAACATTATACCTAGGCTCATATGGTTCTCTACTCTTCTTTTTCTGAGAAAGCTATGAGAAGAAAATATCCTTTTTTCTTCTATTATTTTAAATTACTGCAAGTAAATGAAACAAGCCAGTTTCATAACCCATAATTTTAATGGGCCATAGTTAACATTAACCAGAGTTGTCACACCTAGATGATATGGCAAGTTAATAAATAAAAATTGGGCAAGGGGATTTTAAACTTTTTGCAACTATGACAAGTGAGGAGACAGGAAAGAGGTCAAATTGTAAAGGGGTATACTAAAATCCTTCTTGTCCTGATACACCATGGCATGCTATAGTGCCCACACAACTGGGTGTTATTTGAACATCATGGCATCTCATTTGTAAAAGCTCTTAATGACTTATATTAATATTAAAATGCTGAAAAAATAAAAGCAAATCTTAAAGACTCCTACAGAATAAAAACAGCACCATCTTCTGGTAGAAAACCTGTAGTTCAGGACAAAAATGCTTACTAATAAACCAATATATTTCTGGAATTTATTGCTTGTAAGTATGGCAAGGAAAGTTTAGCTCAACTTTCTTCCTATGACATTTAGAATTGATGTATTTTTGTCAAATGATGAACAACCCTTTGTAATCCAAAACATCTCAAATTAATCAAATAGGTTGTGTGTATAGGAAACAGTATTTAATGTCAAACAAAATATTGCCACATTGCATATTTTTTACTGCACCTACAATGCAGACTTGTAATCTCAATGTGCAAAAGTGAATCTCAGCAAGAGTTCTAAGACAGTATCAAACTGAACCTCCACTCTTTTGAGTTACACTTTTATAAAGCAATATATTTTATTCTGACCTTCAAAATGTGGAAATATCTATTTACTAGAGGCATATACATTTCCTATTACTTCAATACCATCAAAATGTTTAAAGAATAACTGACTCTGTATACAGTATTGGAATTGCATTTCTTTCATTTTTAAAATAAGCAGCAGTTTACAATGAAGTATCAGATTCAAATCTGAGAACATATTTTTAAAAATTGGTCTTGTTTCAATGCAATACACCAAAAGCTTAGAGCAAAAACTTATTGCAAAGACAGTCAACCAACTGCCAGAAGTACAGAGGAAATTATATTCAGTATTCAGAGCACATTATAACGTCTCAAACTTTGTGGTGTGTGTGTGTGTGTGTGTGTGTGTGTGTGTCCCAATTAGCCTTTTAATAAGCCATGAAACTGCTTCATTTAGTGGGGCAATGGGGGAAGAGTCCAGATATTATCGTATTTACTTGAATGCATGTTCTCTACTACTGGCTTTCCTTTCCACAAATCTATTACTTGAAGAAGAAAAGTGAAGGATAATTGCAAGGTGCTGTTTGATTATACTACCTGGAGTTCATTATTTGTAAAAACAAATAAATAAATCAGAGTGGGCTTATATGTTACACTAAACCAGTTTATTGAACAAACCATAACGAATTCACCTAACACAGGGGTAGGCAACCCAAAACACTCAAAGAGCCACTTGGACCCGTTTCCCACCAAAAACAAAACACTGGGAGCCGCAAAACCCTTTTGATATCTAAAATGAAGATAACACTGCATATATCCTTTTTAACCTTTATTATAGGTGTGTCTATGTGTATGTGTGTGTGTGTGTGTGTATGTGTATATGTGTATATATACACACACACACACAGACACACACACACATATACACATTAAAAATAAAAGTAAAAATATGACTCTTGGGAATATCCATACAATTAAAACAATGATCACCAAGAGAATGCTTTAAGAGAATAAAATTACATACACACAAAGGTAAAAAAAGGATATATGCAGTGTTATCTTCATTTTAGATGTCAAAAGGGTCTCTCTCTCTCCCTCCCTCTCTATCTGCCCTTGATCTGCCACTCCTCTTCCCCCACTCTCTCTCTCTCTCTCCCTCTCTTTCTCCCCCCCCTCCTATCTGCTGCTCACCTGGCAAGCTTCAAGCTGTTGTCCAACAACCTCCAGGGTAGGCAACCTGTCTCTTTTATGACTCATGGACTTCAACTCCCAGAATTCCTGAGTCAACCTAGCTGGGCTAGCGAGCTCTCTCCTGCCCTTCCTGCTTCCTGCTTCCTTCAGAGACGCAGCAAAGGGAGGAGCTCCGCCCAGAAAGCTTTTCAGCTCCTTGGAGAACACTGTGAGTGCACTCTCTTTTACACACACACACACACACAGAGAGAGAGAGAGAGAGAGAGAGAAAGAAAGAGAAGCAGGGAAGTGCAATTGCCTCTCTCTGCAAAGGCAGAGGAGGCTGGGAGCCACAGGGGAAGGCTCAAAGAGCCGCATGCGGCTCCGGAGCCGCAGGTTGCCGACCTGTGACGTAACACATGAAGCCATAATCAAGCAACAGACTGTGCCCATGTTTTAGTAACTTGCCTTTTTTTTACTGTATAGGTGAAGGAAATGAGAAAACCCAATATATAATAACTTCAATAAAGTTATGGCTGGAGCTAAAATGTTTCTTCTTAAGCACTGCGCCCTACTTGCTCTCAGTCTGAACTAGAAAAGCGTTACTTGGTGGACTACCCAGGTTGTTGCTAAAGCCAGAGCTAACGAGATCAAAGGCGACTCTGTGCCATCCACAGTGAGACACACACACACACTCACACACACGGGCGGTGGTGAGCAGGACCTATTCCGGGCTGCTTAAAAAGAACTTTAGCCTCTCAGGTAAAATCCATTTTGCGGTGTTTCCAGAGAACTTGTGAAAAGCGGACAGAGCTGGGGACGCCCCGGGTCAGAGCACAATATCGAGCCATTCCTAGCACCATCCAGCGGGATTTTGTCGCCCCTCACGTAGAAAAACGGAGCCACCCACTAACGGCGGGGACGGAGGCCCTTTTACAGCCGGAGGGAAAGCGAACCGGAAAAGCCATGCCTCATCGCTTGCAGGCGAGCGAAACGGGGCAGGCTCAGCATCCCAGGCGGCGCCCCACGCCCTCCTTTCCCCTGGCCGGTTACCTCCATCGCAGCGCCGATTTCGGCTGAGGTGGAGAAGCGGCGGTCGCCTTCACGCCAGCCCTTGAGCCGCTTCCGTCTTCGTCACCGTTCGTCCGCGCGCCCTCCTCTGACGTCAGCGAAACCGCCGCAAGTGCGGCCAAAGCGGACTCGACTTGGGCCGGAAACATCCAGGTGGCCGCCAGATGGTAGCAGCGAGCGTTCTGCGATCGCTTTGTGCCCCCAAGCCTGATTCTTGCCGCCCAGATCTACCACTATAATTTTAAGCGCTTGCCAAATTTTGAATTTTCGGGCCTTGAATTGCCATGGCAACGGACAGGCTTCCTTACTTGTTTTTAGTCTGTCTGTACAGTATACATTGGCCTTCGCCTGCCTTCTCTGGCATCTCCGCGGTTAGAGATGGTTCTTCTGCTGCGGTGGTGGAGTATATTAGTGTTACCACCAAGATCTCTGCATAAAATAAATATTTTTATACAGTATTCCCTTTAACGACTTTGCAATACTGTGCTTTAATTTATAACTTCCTTGGAAGCAGCAGGGGGCAGCACCTAACCCACTTTGACTGTGGGTGAAAAGCTAAGCAGGCTTGACCCTAGTTAGTAATTGGATGGAAGAGTAGCAGAACTCCCAGTGCTGTTGATTAGATTGAAAAGATTAAAAAACAAACAAACATTTTTGTTGGATTCCTTCCAACAAAAAAAGTCAGGAAAATTAAATACTGATGGAATCTGTAGGTTGTAGATTTTACCCTGAAGACTTATTTAAGTTTATCCTTTGAGGCTTGAAAATAAACAAGTTACAACTTGAACAGTGTGGGTCATGTACTGTACTCCCAGCTGAGTGTACAAATTGTCACTACAATCCAACCAAATTAAATGTATGTTGCTGTATAAATATATAAGGTAACATTTTTATCCTCATGCTCTGCCAAACTAAAATGCAATGGGGAAAATAACTGAGGTCAGGCAAAGCCAATTGAATTATCAAGTGGGCTAATTTTCTCCCATGTAAGATTTTTGAAAAAGAAAATAAGAGGTAATCTATTTTCTATTAAATTCCCCTTCTAGGCATACTTATGAATTAATTTGTATTGATTTTAGATAATGATTCCTTTTAGGAAAGCATATTTAAAATAGGAAACTCTTATTCTTTTCCAGTTAACAATTATCATTTTACTTGCAAAAGTATGTCAAATTTATTTTCCTTCAGTAACCTCAGGTTATTCATCATATGGTCAAGTTTTGTCTCCTTACATCCTACATAAAACATTGCTAAAGAGTAGTGTGCTTCAGATGAAGGTTTACTTAGAACCATCTTCTAGTAAACATGGATTTTACAAGGGTCAGGGCAAGAATGTTTTCAATTTGTAATCCTCCCATATTTCTAAGCTCCTTTTCACCCTTTTTGTTTAAAAATGAAATAAATATGTCAAAGAAAAAAAAAACATCTGTTTGACTGGTAGCATTAAAAGTAGACTAGAAACACCTATATCTCCAGAGAAAGTTAACAATAGATAAAGATTTTTCTTGTCTAGTTATCAAAAACTGCTACTAATGTAAAATAAAGTATTTTTAAAGCAGGGGTCTTCAAACTTGGCCCTTTTATGACTTGTGGACTTCAATTCCCAGAATTCCTCAGCCAGTTTGAAGACCCCTGTTTTAAAGTATTTTGAAGTCTTATTTGTACTTATTTGTTCAACAATATAAACCAGAAGAGTAATAACCTAGAAACAGCTGCTGCATATCACTTTCTGAAAAATTTCATATACGAAAGGTGGAGTGATTACTTTCATATTGGACAGATATATTTTAAAAGGAGTGATTCAAAGAGTGAACAAGGTAAGAAAGAACATGATTACCCATAGAGATACAAGTCCAAAAAAACACACCAAGGGCGGAAACAATTCAAAGGCTTCATTTAAATGCTTCAAATTTATCAATAGACTTTTTGGGGTCAAGTTTGAGAAACTGTTTCATTTCAAGGAACAGTTATGAAAGAGAGAGAACAGTAAAAATATGAATGATATCCCAAAATGGTAACTGTAATACCTAGATAAGTTAAGCTATGTAGCTGACTGGATTTTTACATATTTGATCAAGAATCATATAAGTGCAACATACAGTATTTGGCAGAACATAGGACATAGTGAATTTACTTGAAAATCCTTATGCATAGCACCAAGTTGCCTGTGGTTCTGAAAACCACAAAAAAGCTAAGAAAAGCATTAACCCCAAAAAGATAGTCCTCAGGTGTAAATGTTTTAAGATCTGATTCAGTGGTGGGATTCAGCCAGTTTGCACCAGTTCGGTAGACCTGGTAGCTAATTTTTTGTTGCCCAGACCCAGAATGGACTTCTGGAAGCGGCATCCACACAGAGAATTGGTTGTTCACATATTTGAATCCCACCGCTGCTGCTGATATAAGCTGCATTACAATGTCATGACACAAATGATACAAATTATATGACTGGCATTCATTTGTGCAATGATATTATTACAGCATACATGTCAGGCCTTTCTTTCAGACCCAGGTGCTCAAATGATGTCAAATGTTCCCCAAAAATATCTCCAAATACAAATTGCCATGGTGTATTGTCACATCCTCATGGGACAAACCTACATATGCTTATTTCCAAGGTTCTAGCATGGACAATACTTATTTATTATCCACTTTTATTATTTTTATAAATAACTCAAGAATGAATGCTATAAATGCAAATTTAGTAAATCTAAGTTTCTAGCTGCTTGCCAATGATGTAGCTTATATGCACAAAAGAAGCCAAAAGTCAACAATATTCTCCAACTAATTTAGCATTCACACTGAAAGGAAATGTAAGGTCCCAGTCCCTTACTTAAACTTGAGATACCATATAAATCTAATCAGATAACCCAAGCGGAGAGTTCTTGATCAAGCAGCAGTTTATTTGATCAAATTAAGAAGCTGGGTGGCCAACAATCTGGAACGCTGGCAGAGTTACGTCCAGAAGTGCAACACATTAGAAAATTGGTAGCATTGTTTTATAAACTTTGTTAGCCAATGAAAATCAGACAACAGAGCCATTACATCATAAGAAAGAAATCAATCATTGCTGTACACTCCCTTATTCCCTCCTTCAGTATATCACATCCATGTACATGTTTCCCAAACTTGCATGAAATTTCTCTGGCGCAAAAGCTGATTACAAAAAGCAAGAAAGCAACAGTTAGACTAAACAATTTCCCTTTGTTCCAGAACCCTTCACAATTATGGAAATATACTTCCTAGGAGTAGCCAAGCTTCCAACTAGCTATGCCAATTTTACTGAAATACAATAAAGGTTGAGATTACTAAAAGTAAGCCCTTTTACAGTGGCCAGTCAATGGGAAAAGCAAGTGGAAAAATAACAGTTACCATTAATAAATTTTAAAACAATTTTTAAACCAGAACAGGGCAAGGAGGACGAAAAAGGGGATTGATGTGTGCATTGATGCAAATCATTTCCTGAGCTGCCTCTAGGATGTACACATCAATGTATGAAACGCCTCTTTGTGTTCAGTTGCCATGACTGTATTGTGTTCAGCTAAGATGGGACTAGTAAGATAGACTCAGATGAACAGCGCAGAAAAAAATCTGAATGCATTTCATAAATTCCTTTCAATAGCATCCCAAAACAAAATAGTTACCTGTATATTACGTTTCAGCTCCATAAGCAATAAAAGATGGAAAAACAATTAACATAATGTGAGAGACTTCTCATGTCTGGGCATTTGGACTGACTAGTCTGGTATCATTTCTACTCTAAATAGAATAGGTGCAGGTTTTCAGAGAGCCTGAGAAGATATGTATGTATGTCAAAAGGTCAAGATAGCAATTGCCATGGCACAACTAAAGCTCTGCCCCTTTTTATGAGCATTGTGTACATAGTGCATGCAAAAAGACCATGAGGCTTTAATTGTGGGATTGTGGTAGCATCTTGACTATAGCATCCCTGCTGAGTCCCCTGACAGTTTCTTCCCCAACTTATATACTTACAGTTTTTCTCCCCAAACTGGACAGGAAGATGTGTTTTCAGTTTCGTGGTGAAGGCATAGTTTCAGCTTTATCCAGGCCTATCAATGAATCACCTTTTATTCAAGAACATCCTTTAGCTTCTTTAATGTTGTTTTGTGAAGTTATGAACCTAACTTCCCAAAACTCATATATATTCCTAATGTGTTGCTACAGGTTGTCCTACAGTGAAATTACACTGATATTTGTGTCCTTCCCATGATCTTTGCAGCAACTATAAATATTGCTTTCTATTTCCATCTAACCTCGGAACATCCAAGCTTATTTTATATATTGGGTCAATTTGTTCAGCATTTTCACTCTCTCATATTTATAGTTTTAATCTATTTATATTTTTATCCTTCTGGATATATTTTTTAATCACTTTGTTCTTTGAGCAAAAAGTTCATAGTGAAGACTGGGAGGATGATGGCCTTAGCTTTTGGCAGTTAGGAGCCTCAAAGGTTGTGTGGGAAAAGAACTGATGCCACTTCTTAGGAATGTTTTTGTCATTTGATATACCATAGTATGGTCAACAGTATGGTCAAAATTATTTAACACAGCTTTGCTTGTACGTGTTGATGACTTAAAATGAAGCCAGAATAGAACCGGTGCTTCCATCCTTGGATTCCTTTGTCTTTAAGTGGCTTTCAATATGTTGAACAAAATATTTTTATGGACAGATCCATAGATTAGGAATTGGGGGCACTGCATTATAGTGATTCTCTTCTTTCTTTTATAGCTAGTTTCAATTGATGCTGAAGGGTGTGTGGGTTGCTCCTGAGACTCCTCCCTTGAAGTGTAGACAGGATCCAGTGGTCTCTCCCTTCCTTTCCAACATCTATATGAAACCACTAGATTAGTTGAAAGATAAAAAGGACAAGTATAGAAAGTGGAAAGAGGGGAACATAACTAAGTCAGAATATCAGCAAATAGCCCGAGCCTGCAAAGATGAAGTGAAGAAAGCCAAGGCTCAAAATGAACTGAGGCTTGCGACCAAAGTCAAAAATAACAAAAAAAGCTTCTTTCAACATGTAAAAAACAAGAAAAAAGTGAAGGAAATGATTGGTCCATTAGTGGGTGGAAGTGGCAAGAAGGTGACAAGCAACAGGGAGAAAG